TTGGTATAAATATAATGAAAGAAATTTAAAATTGGCTAGACTTCACTTCTGTAACTGGTCTTGTCATTAAAATAATCTTTGCTAGCTCTTTATTTTTGTCTATTAGTCATCTGTAAGCAGTCATTCAAATTTGTGTGTGAAGTTTTGTAGAGCAGACTGACTTTTTTTCTCTTAGCTTGTTAGAGTAGGGATAACCCCATAACTCCACCTCTCTGCTGTGCTGTGCTGCGTGTTGAGAGTCTCTGCACTTTGTGGTCTCTCACTGCGAGGGTGCGCAAGGAGGGTGGAGTTGGTGTGTTGTGGAGCAGTCAAGACCCTGGCTCAACTCTTTGCCATAGTCCTTGGACATGGTTATATCATTTTTTCAGGTAGATAGATGTGTACTTAATTAGTTGAATAGCACATTTCCATTAGGAATATTGATGGATTTTATTTTCTAACGGTAGAACAGACTGTTCTTATGTTAAAATTGAAACTTACTAGCTTTGCATTTCCAGAACTAAGTAACAACTACAAGTACAAAACATAGACATGTTATCTATGTAGCTAGAGTGCCCTGAAGGCATGTTCTCACAATTATTTAGGGAGATCTGCTGTTTCCATGCAAACATTTTGTGTATACACCTCACCGTGTACGTTGTTTTTCAGAGTGTGGACTAGGTATTATTTTAACATTTCTCTGTCCTGCATACCTTGATTGATCAACTTACATGGGCACCATTTGGGAGTCTCACTACATTCATGTGCCTCTCTGATGTGATTTGATCTTGTGTGGTGACTGGTTAACTCTTGTTTTCCCTTTATTCCTGATAGAGCTATTATTCAGTACCAAAATTGCCATTTGTTTGTATGCAGTTAAAATATGTTAATGGCATTCTTCCTTTTGAGAAGAAGTCCATTTTAGTTTAAACCTGGCACCCACTATGTTTAAGGAAGTGGGGAGCAGATTTTTTTTTACAGATTTCTTAGGAAAACTTAGGATTTCAAAATTATATATTGTGCAATTCTAAACAACATTGGAAAAAAATCAGGATGTTGCAGTTTGGTCAACTGCCCCCTGACATTTGCTTTGCTGCAGTTGAGCAATATAATAACAATATAATCTATGTGCAGAAATAACAAGAATGTTGAGGATATCTCTAAGATTGTGATTTTTTTAAAAAGACTAGAAACATTCACAGCAAATGATTCTGATAGTTCACTATCCGTGTAGTGTTGTGCGGTGTCTGAATAAAAGAGCTGTACGCAGAATTTGCGCCACTGACCAGAGCATCAGTCCAGTCAGCTGTGGCAATTGCCATCCTCAGATCTGTATTCCACGCTTACAGGAATTGCTTTATAAATTGTTTAGCTGTTTTTCCATATTTTTTACTCATATTGAAGGAGTAGGAAACTGTAGGCTGACAGCAGCTGAGTTAACGTTAAAACATTTGAAAAGTTTTAAGTAGATTGTTTTGAAAAAAAAGAAAAAAAGAAGACTTCTTTCTTGTTAATAATACTGCTGCATTTTTTAATGAAGTTTATTTTAGCTTTAACTTAAGAGCATCTAAGGAATTGCCCTTAGGAAGAAAGTAGTTTATAAAAAGCCAAACTGTAGCTGTTTTGAATTTAAGTAATTTCATAGACTTCAGTGGAACCCTGTTGATTTATTCTATTAGCTTTTCTTACGCCGATAGGAGTCAGAGGGCTTACCACTGTGGCAAACCACTATGTAACTGAACAGAGAGTATGAACTTCAGGAAGGGAGAAGGCTAGGGGGGCACGAGGAGGCCAGGGAGACCTTATTGCCTGCAGCTCTAGCTTTAACTGCAGCCTATCTAGCAGTAGGTCACTTACTAAGGAGCCAACTTGGTATTACTAGCATGGAGTCCTTTCACACTGTAACTCAAAACAGAAGCAATTACCATAAACAGCCTCAGTGATTTATTTTTTTTAGCCCAAGTAGTGGATGAGAGATAATAGTTTTCTTTACCTTGAAGACATGTAGCCTTACTGCTTCCTCTCTATACACATATATGCAGAGGATAAAACAAAAGGTAGCAAAGAATTTTTGCTTTAAACCCGTATTAGTAAATTAAGCATGACTGTGTGATTAATATTTTGTTTCCAGCACTTCACACTTGAATAGCTAATAATAAGCAGCATGTGTATCAGCTTGGCTCTTCCATTATTGTTAAGCATCTTTATAAAGTGTTTACTGATTTACATAACAGTATTGAGAAATTTGGGAATAATGATCATATTTGTTTACTTATTTTCATTGTTGAGATCATTATGTGATGTTAATGAAGAATAATTATCATTGAGTTTAATTTTCAAATGTGTCCAAAATCTATTAATGTTAGCAGTTTACTTAGATTTTTTTTTTTTCACAGCAGGGTTAAAAATGCACAGCTGTCTAGGCGTACCTTCCTATTTCATTTCTGTTTGGAGCATGTAGGCCCCGTTTAACAGTCCGAGAGCCCAAGCACCTCTAACTGCTGCACACCAGTAACATGCTATAGATCCCTCTAGCAAGTGTACTTGTCCAGCGTAATTAGCTATACTGGGCATGGCATTGAAGGCTATTATAGCAAACTACATCTGAAACAGCAGTATCATTGACTAACTGCATGCAATTATGAAGCAGACTAAAGTGGCCTTAATATGTAGAATTTGATTACATCAATAGATTTCTTTAGACAAAGCAGCCAAATAAGGTAACTTCAGAGCCTGCTCACTGTGGGGTTAAATTTACACCTGCCACAAGGATGTAAATCCAGAGGTGTTTACTAAACAGAACAGAATAACTCATTTTACATCTGTGGGATGAGCAGAGAATTTGATGGCTTGTATTTAAAAGGACTTACTATGGTTTAATAAAGTTAAATGATAGGGAAGCTTGGTAAGTAAATACTGCATACTAGGGGGTTGAATTTTATTTTTTCTATGCAAAACTCGGGGGGGGGAGTGTCCTTTCCTTTTAGAATTAACTATTATCATAGAAAGCCACTATAATAAATAGTGTTGAAAGGCTTTTCATATTTAAGCCGCTTCCAAAATAGGTTCAATCTCAGTTTTCAGGTCCTTTAAGTCCTACCTTATTTTTACCCCTCAACAAAATGGAGATACAAAATAAGCTCTAAAACCATAGACCTAATGCTCCACACTTCACACACACATATTGTGTCAGAATAAAAGCATTTATTCCAATAAATAAAAGTCCATGCTTGTATGAATCACCTGTAATGTGACAACGTATAACAATAGTAAAAAATTAAATGGGTACACCAAATGTTGTACTTAATAAATATGCTTAGGAAAGCCAGGTCATGTTTGCATCTATACATGTGACTGTCATTTAATTCATTATGCTGGAGCCATTGTGGTGTTGTAATTGAGGTCATTTCAGTTTTCAATAAAATAAAAATTAAAAATTAGCTTTTTTTGAGGAAATAAACCCAAATATTTCATTCCTTATTCATTAATTACTTATTTATAAACTCACGTCTGTTAATGTTGAGTGTGTATTTTTATGTAACTGTGCAAAGGGACGTGGACGGGAGGACATGACTGCTCAGCATTTGAGAAAGGCATCCCAAGATGAGTGCGTTTGGTACTACTGAGATGTTTATCTGTTGCTGGAGTTATAGAATGTGATATAGGTTCAAGCTTTTCCCTATATTCACATTTTCTCTGCTCCAAATACTATGTGTAATATCTCATTTCTCATTAAAAAATCATCCTGTTTTGAAGATGATGGTAGCATATATTTATACATATGCCTGTATGAATATAACATTGAGTGTTTTTTTAGTATCTTGCAGAAGAGTAAAGTGAATTATACTGAAAGCTGAAACAAACATCGTAGGGACCTTGTAAAAATTAGCTGTTCTGTAAGGATTGAAGGTGAATATATAGGAAGCCCCAGGGATAAGTCAAAGTGGCCTTTATGATGGATTGTTAGTTGCTGGAGGTATAGACCTTAGTTCGGGTTTCACTATATTATGCAATTTCTGCTTCAAATATTAATTCTGACCTAGTGTTTTAAGAATTATTAGAAAGTAAGAAATCAATATAATTCGGGTAATTTGAATCACAGGGAAAGTGGGAAAAAATAGCTAAATCAATTGTTATATTATCAAAAGTATCTGAATATGTTTTTTTCAGTTTATGGCATTTATCGTCACCAGCACAGTGTCAGCATAATTGGCAATCAATGCTGCTTCTCCACTTTGATGACTTGACTCTCAGAGGGAGGTAGAAGGGCTACTTCAAGGGTCTAAATCCAAAATATAGGTCCTCGGAGGTCTGTCAGCCACTGCTCCTGCCTAGAAAAACATAGGTAGTTATTTTCAGCATGAACATCTGTTGGTCACGAAAAGGCCTGTTTCCAGGCATGTGTAGAAATATGCCATTCTTGATAAGCACGTATGTTGGTATCCATCTGATATCTAAACCATATATAAGCCGTAGCTTAACAGCTTATATCTAAGGCTTATATCTAAACTCCAAAGAGGGCTTAGATATAAATTAGGTATTTCTACAGTTACCTTGCATCTTGGGCTAAATCCATTTGGAAGGATCATGAGACAATATGATTCTCTGTCTTTCAACTTCCAAATGAATGCCCTAACCAGCAAGTCAGGAGATTTTACAAGGTGGCAGTTGCATGTAACAAAACATCAAATATGCTCATTACTCAGTATTTCATAATTATTAATATATTTTAATCTTCTTATTATTTTGACATTTTCCAAGGTAGTCCTGGTTTCATTTTGCCTAATAAAAAAATTATGGTACCTCAAAGACATAAAAGAACTGACAATCTTCTCCATTTTACTTTCTTTCAGGAATTAAGTTGGGAAGCTGCAGAGCAGTAAAGTGATGTGTTTAATGTGTGGTGGCATCTTATGTGCAGAACATTTTATCTGAAAATCTTCAGTAGCCCCAAACTTTCTGACTTCCAAGGTGGAAGGGGTAGATTCTTGGATACTCCTGTGCCTACAAAATAACCAAAAATGAAGGAGGACAATTGTTTACATGCCGCTCTTATCTGCCTGGGCATGCTGTATTACAGCCATGCCATAACTACAGAAAAACTGAACCACGCAAGGCCATCACTTCATGGTCACCATGAAAAAGGAAAAGAAGGACAAGTTCTGCATCGTTCAAAAAGAGGCTGGGTGTGGAATCAGTTCTTTGTTATAGAAGAGTATACGGGACCAGATCCTGTACTAGTAGGAAGGGTAAGAAAGAATTTCTTTTTCATTCATCAATTAATATTTACTATTTTATATTATTATTTTGTGAGTTGCTTTTTTCTTGTCATTGCTTTTCTCTTGTATTAGCTCCTTCTTTGGCAGCTACTTATTCACCTAGAATTAATCATTTTATTGTAGCTCAATTAAGGTGCTAAGCAAAATACTACCTAAGTGAGTACAAATTTCTCCACTGACCTCAGCAGTCTTTGAATGAAGGTGTACAAGCTGTTATGTAACACGACAGCAAGAACCACAGCAACCGCTTGAGCAACAATATGTCTCAAGAACATCTGGTATCATTCTTGGGTCTTTAAAAATAGTAATTAAAAGTGTAATGTCTAACTCTGCAGCTCAGTAGAAGTGTACTGCTCAATAGGTCTCTCTTCATCCTTTCATTTTGAAGTTATCAGTAAAATTAAATATGAGGGGTATGTGTAGAGGGAGATATATATCTGTGTGGACATATGTATGCACACACATTCTGGACTAATTTTTTATTCTGTTACTAATACTAAATACATAAATAAAACAGTATATTTGCCAGTTTATAAATGGTTAGCAGAACTGTGTTGACTTAACCCCAGCACAAAAGAGGAGAACAGAATCAATGACAGCAAATACTATTCTGGGTATTCGGGTTTAAAAGATGGTTAGTATTGTGCAATTTGTAGATGTCAATATAAAATCAATAAATCTATAATTTGGCTCAATATTTCCCTCATTCATCAAACTGAAGTGTGCATTGGTTACAAAAGAAAGAATGTTTAGTAAGTGTTTGTTACTTCTTTTATATTAAAGAGGTTGTAATTAAAAACTAGTTGGCCATTACTGATTGGCTCATTCATTACATCCCATCTGTCACTTAGCAGCTTTTTGCAGGCAACCTAGTAGAATATGATTAGTATGAAGCGTGCAAAATCTTTGTAAAAATTACTCTTCCTTCCAACTTCATTTGAATAAAGAACCTGTTATAACTATCTTCTCATGTATTCTCTTCCTCAAATCTTAAAGCTCGGTTCTCAGTAGCACCCTATGTGTGATAGCATGCAAGTCTGTGCAGGCAGCTTCTCTGAATGCAGGGCAGATGTGCTAACAGCATGTGCCCGAGTATGGATTATTGCTTGATGTAAGACAAGATTTTTGAAAACTATTAAATGATAGTAATTTCATGAACTTTTTTGTTTCATAAGCACATACATGAAACGTATACCGACTTGTTAAGGTATGTCTGTTTCTCATTTTGTAGCTTCATTCAGATATTGATTCTGGAGATGGAAACATTAAATACATTCTCTCAGGTGAAGGAGCAGGAATCATTTTTGTTATTGATGACAAATCAGGGAACATCCATGCAACAAAGACACTAGACCGGGAGGAGAGAGCTCAGTACACTCTCACGGCACAAGCTGTAGACAGGAACACTAACAGACCTTTGGAACCACCTTCTGAATTCATTGTTAAAGTTCAAGATATAAATGACAACCCACCTGAGTTTCTTCATGAAAACTACCATGCCAATGTGCCAGAGAGATCAAATGTAGGTAAGTACTCATAAATGCACTTCAGTTCCTGGCCTTATGGAAGATGTTGCACTGTCAGTACATCTTGGCTTTATTTAATTCTTATCATCTAGAATTTTGGGAAGTAAAATTTACTTCATGCTCAGCCAGTGACTGAGACAATGTATCTAATTTGCTGACCAAATCAAACCCTGCACAGCTACTAACTGTCACGCTTGAAGTGTCTCTAGATGGTTCCTAGAACAGGACTATTTCTTCCTAGGAAGGAAGATGGGGGTCCCCTGGAATTTACGGAGTGTGAATCCTCTGGGGTAAACATCAAGATCATTCCTTTGGCAGAGCTGCGTAATAAAGCTAAGGAGTTACTGCCGCACTATCTATTCCATTTTCATCTCCTGTTTGAGCTTGTGTCTATCTCAGAGATTTCTACAGGAGTGATTTCTCTGAAACTTACTGAGGAAAATGTAAAAAGAAAACTCTATTGTTTGGCTGTCTAATGACAAAAGCAATATAACGCTTAAACTACTGAGGAAAAAAACCGTAATGGTACAGAGTGACTGCTGCCTTTTGTATCTTCACTGTTTAGAACATTAATCCACATCACAGCTGGTGACAAATCTTTTTGGATTGTATGAGTTTATTTTGTCGTATATAAACTGCCAAGTAAATTTTTTTCATTTACCAAACCTGGAAATAATAAAGTTAAGAAATAGTTATGCCGTATGACTGAAAGCATCTCTGCACGGTTCTTACAGACGTGTTTGTTTCTGACTGTGTTCCTTCTGTGTTTGCTTTCCATTTTTAGGTACATCAGTTATTCAGGTAACAGCTTCAGATGCTGATGATCCTACCTATGGGAACAGTGCCAAATTGGTTTACAGTATTCTTGAAGGTCAGCCGTACTTCTCGGTGGAAGCTCAAACAGGTATTGAGCAGTTTACTTGAGTAGGACCTCATAACTGGAATACATTAAAATGAAGAACTAAATATATTGACTGAGGCAGTACAGTTGGGTATATCTACTGATGTGTTTGAGCAAAGCTTCCTTCATTCTCTTTTGATTCTAGCTAAGCTCTTTTGCAGGTTGGTCCCCTGGCATTTGGTAGAGCTTCTGGGTACGCTACACTAGAAAGATGATACTATTTCTTTTGTAGTATGATATGGTATGATAGAAATGGCAGTTTCGTTGCTGAACTGTAATTCTCCAGGGTTGTTCTGTCTTGAACTATGTTGAATATTTGGGTTTTTTTCCTTGCA